TTTACTCATTTACTAACTTATTTTCACTCCACTAAATGAGTTAAATATTTATTCTTTCGTGATTGCAGACTCATTAGCTGTATAAGCAACAAAAGTTAAAACACAGAATTAAATTGTACAGCTAATTAATTAAAATTACATGATAGCACCAAGAGTTTCTCCACATGAAAATATATCTAGTAAAGAAGGCAAAGGCACAAAAAAGCAGTCAATTTTAGCTAGTAAACTTAAGATTTCCTATGACTTTGCAAACTGGTATTTAACAGATCCAGACTGTTGCAGGGGAATAAGCTAATATCGCTTCCCAGCCAACACCAGTTGCCTACATTCAGATTATTGAATATGTTTTCCAGTTTCGGTCCTCCTGATGACTGATTTTGCTAAAGTACAAACTCAAAACTGTATCCTACAGACCAGCGCTTTTTCAGTAGATCTGGAAACACTCTGGAGACTTACCAGGATTCTGCACAAAAGTCCCTTGAAGTCAGGGAATTAGATCCATCTGCGCTAAAACCAGTTCCAACTCCCTCCCTGCTCCCAGCTCAGAAATTGGTTTGCACTACTTTGAAGTTTTTGTCAAATTAAAACTGAAAGCTCTTTTTAGATGAAACCAAGTTACCAACTCAGAAAAATTAAAAATCCATAGGAAACAGTACAGGTCCCTCTGCAAGTTATCTGTTCAGCCTCCAAGGATTTGCTTATATTGATTTTTAACTCTGTTGAAAATGCAGGCCACATTCAGTTATTGCTTTCCCATCGTAGAGAACAGCTCAATCCCAGAATTAGGGTAGTCCCACCATCTGAACTTTTTCCTCAACACTGTGTCACACCTTTTTGTACTTGCTTGATTCTGTACCTGTGCTGTATATACAACAGAATTAGGGACAATGTGGGACAGTCTACAGCTTTTTCTCTTGATTAATTTGCTCTGTGACGGTACTGGTACCAGACATACTAAGCTTAGCCATTTTCCTTCAGACACTCATCCCCATGTATCATTTCACAGTTGGCGAGAAGCTCTGGTGTTGTGCTATGACTGCAAATGGTGCTCAAACTCTGCCACAGGTGCAGCAAAGCAAAGCTCTAACTGCCTTCCCATCCTCCCCTGATTGAATCTGTTGCATGATCCAGCCTCCATCCTGATACTCTCCCTATTTTAAAGTTTTATTTTGACAATGATGAATTGGTATAAACAAAGAGTAGTTTTAATGCAGGAAGAAAACAACTTCAATCAGAGCCGAGTCCAAACTAAACCAGAAAGAATGCCTGTCCAGTTCAATACTGGGAGACACACAAAAGCATTGCTTATTTAGGTTAAAACTGGTGAAGCGATCTGTAGTTTGATCTTTGTACTCCTATTCAGACACACTTTCTGAAATTAATTTCATTTACTCTGAATATTGTCATTTGAGCCACTGATCAATGTCTTCCCTGATTATTATCAGCAAAGAAAAATGGGTAGTTACAGGGCACAACCCATCTCCTTCTAGATTAGGAATCTAGATTCAACCAGCTGGGCTGCAGGCCACAACCCCCATCCACTGATAAAAGGGACCATGGCACGAATAGCTCAGATATAGGCAGGGATATAAAATAAGGTACTTTCACTACCGTGAAATTTACCTGTGCTGAGAAAGGGTAAGGAAGGCAGGGAGGAGAAGTATGAACAGAGTGAGTGATCTCAGAAGCAGACCCCACCACACACGTGCTGACATATTTATACAAAACTTTTCAAGGTGGTCTGTACTACCTTCAGAAATATGAAGGCAAATGACTTTTAACACTTGAATTTTTAATTTATTATCGCGTTTAATTTTACCACAATAGTATGTACAGTCTATACCCACAAATAAACATAACTGGCTTGGCAGTTACTGCTTCACGATAAATGGCAGTAAGCAAGCATCAAATAGGACAGAAAATAATGACGAATATAATTAAAGAAATAAAAATGAAAAATGGTTATTCCTAAAAGTAACTCCAAGATAAGAACGTTGCACTAAATTCTTTTCCCTCCTTTAAGGGGAAAAAATTTAGTGCAACTTATGGCCGACGAGCGATTTATAATTGGGGAGGGCTTGAAAAAAACACGAGTACCATAGCCGACCCAACAGCTCCTGACGAACAAAAGAGCAGCGAGCTGTCTCTGCTGCAAGCGCTGCCTACCTGTCCAGCCTGCCGTCAGAAGGCCTGTACTTGTTTTCATCAAAAACGGATGAATCGGGATCATTCTGCTTTCTCCGCTTTCCGTCCGCGCCGCGTTTCCTTCCCTGGGACCAGCGAGGCGGAGGCTGTGGGCTGGCAGCAGACAGGCCAAGACACGTTAGGCGCTTTTCTTTTTATTAACCTCTCCGAAACGCCATCCCGCTGCAGACATCACCGTTTATTGACGAATTTTACTTCAGCAAACCAAGCCGGGCGACACCAGTAGCTCGCGGGCCTTAAGAGCCCCTCAGAGGGGAGATCCCGCTACCAACGGCCCCGCAACCCGCCCCTCCCCGCGGACAGCGGAGGCCCCGGGCACTTACACCTCTTTCCCCCCACCTCCCCCGGGAGCTTCAGCCCCACTTCCCTCCAGACTGCCCCCG